ACCTTATATTCACCAATAAAGTAGAGTTCTTGTTTCATTTATTTTATTATTTATCTTTTGTTATCATTTATTATCATTTTTTATCTCATTTTAAATCTTTCTATCGATCTGCTTGTAAATTTTATTCAGTTTTAGTCTTTTTAACTTATTATATTAAAGCACATTTGATCATATGCCATGGAAAGTTGCAAGCTATAATTATAAGTTTAAATTAAATGTAAAATTGTAAATTTTAAAATTTATCTTTCCCTCTGTAAAGTTTTGTGTACACAGTGAAAAGAAGAAAATGTTGGAAGAGTTGACAAATGATATTCATCAGTCACCAAACAAGCAGAAGGTGTTGATGGAGTTGGCTAACTGTATTGCATCAGGTAGGATGAGCTAGGGCAAGTGCAATTGGTTAAAATGCTTTAGCTTTTATCTACAAAATCATCCTTTATTTAGTGGGAAACAGAAGTCTGCCATCCAGACATCTGGCAGAAGCAGTGCAGAAGATTACACAGTCAAATCATTTACTTTTTAGCTGGTTGTTGAGGTACTGCACATAGTTGAATTAGACAATTGCATTGCTGATAAATTTTTGTAGGTATTACCACTGATTCTATAATGATAATTTTTGTAGTCTAAGAATTTTTTCCTGGACCTAAATCTGAAAAGCTGGTTGCCAAATGAACACTTGAGAATAATTCCAACTTGATGGGTTTTACCACAGTTCAGTTTTAGCAGATAACGTGAACATCGATCTGCCTTGAGAATTCTTGCTATCATGCTTGGCCCCCTACAGATATTTTGAAACTAATCAACATGTACTGCATATACTGTCTTCTACATTATGTGTTAAAAAAGTCAATGGGTGTGTGGTATTTATATGTGTATGTTTGTTGTTTCTCTTTTAACAGCTTGTCATGCAGATTCGTTCACTTTGTATTTAGTTGATGCTACAGGAAAGGTAGGAAGTTGCAAAGTGCTGAAATGATAAAAAATGATATCCATGAAGGGTAAAAATACATAATTGCAATTGTAATGCAAGTCAATGATTATCAAACACACTGCAGTGCCACAGATCAGGAGGAAAAAAAACTTGAATTATCTATTTATGTTGAGTTTATAATGTGTAAAATCACTAATTATAAACTAATAACTGTAAATTACTTTGAAAATGATCTGCACTAAAATTATACATAACTCAGTGCTTTTCTTAATCTTATGGGTATAGAATTGATTTAAAAATTATCAATCTCTACAATGATCAACAATAATTAGCAGCCATCATCTTTCTAATGGATGTCTTGTTTGATTAATCAGGCATTGTTCATCTACAATCCTAACCATCCAGAAGGGTAGGTATTTTCCGAAGTGATTAAAATGTAACTTCTCCCAGTAACATCCATATACTATCCATGAAACCGGTAATGAGAGTACTCAAACTTATCTTGTAGAAGTTGTTATCTTGATTTAACACCAAATTCTTGTAACTAATTTGCAAGGACATGTGTCACAGTGATAAGGGGAGAGTTATCAATCAGATCTTGGCAGTTAAATTGTTGAATCATACTTTTACATTATCTTCAGTAGGCCCCACCCTTTCCTTGTAATTCTAGAGTAAAATTTTTCACCTGTTTTTTCCTTTTGGTTAATTATGTGTTTGTTTGATTTGAAGAAAGTCCAGAGACTTTAGGGGCTTTTATCTTTTTTTGCCATTAAGAAAATTCCTTGCTCAAGACACATGGGTGCCATTAATATTTTATTACTTGATAGAAATGATTAAACGATGAATACTGCAACAGTCTCAGTGGTGAGGGACTGTGACTTGATGTGATGAATTTTATCTAATGCTGTGAATATATCAGACTGATAATATATAATGTAATTTATAATTATAATTGTTTTTAGGAGGACTTCATCAAATATCCAGATAAAAGATGGAAGCACAATTGCAGCTTTTGTAGCTTTTACTCAAAAGCCATTCAGAACAAATGAAGTGTTGGGGGTAAGTGCTGTACTTTCAGTCCTTGAGGCCCTGCAGACAACATATGAGGTCTTTTCACTGAGTTCAACACCTTTCATTTTCCTGTGGCAAGTTTAATTTATCAGAGAATTTTATAGAGATCAGGGTTCAGTTGTTCAAAGTTAATGTTAACCCAGGGTTAATGCTATATGTTTCTTTTGATTATTCCTTTGTTTAAAAGCCTTATTCTATTCTTTTGATAGCATCCACTGATCAAATTCTAGACAAAGAGAATTGAACTTAAGTTTCTTTTTAAAGCTTTTAGATCTGAAATCAGATTTTACACTTACCCTGGGTCATCTTGACCTAGCTTTGAACAACCAAGCCAAGCTGGCAATCTCTTTTTTACCCTTTACACCGTAATAATTATACTAAAACAGTGCATAGCATTGAAGGCACGCTCCGATTGGCTAGTCAAACTCCGAATATCCTTTGCTATTTACCTCCGAGCAACTTGGGAAAAAATGGCATCCCGGTTTGTATCCATGACAAGTGAAGAAATCACTCAAATCAATTTTTGGTGGTGTATATTATCTCACTGTTTTAGTATATACTAAAACAACTATTCACCTCAGTGTCGGTGGTTAGCAGTGGATATTTACCTTGCCGCTTCGCGTCTGGGTAAATATCCACCACTAACCACCTCTACTTCAGTGAATAGTTGTTAACTATGCTTTAATTCTCTCCCTACTGTTGTCCATACATTTTCTAAGCTGCCGAAAAGGAGAATCTGTTTAACAATTAAGAGCTTCTTTAGTCAAGTTGATCATTTCCTATTTTCCAGTGTCCTCAATGTGTCATATGCAGGGTTAATATTTTATGAGAAATTAGATGCTTAGTAGGCACTCTTAAGGGTCAACAAGTTCTGTATGATAATAATTATTCTGTCACTATGAAGAGAAATTCAATGCAGAACATTACTAGCCAGGGCTTATTAGGTTTTAAAATCTTTATCACACCCATTCCTTCAAGGTCTGGTTCACTTTTATTTGTATCTCTAAACTTGCTTTATTTGAATTCAGGATTACCGTTTTCCAGAAGGAATTGGACTGGAAGGTAACCTATGTTATTTCCTTATCATGCTTTTGACTAAATTCAATCATGTATATAATTATATATATCTACTGGACAAGTGTTTAAAATTTCTACAGTAAAAAAAGAACCTTTGCAGCAAACTGTTCATTCAGATTAATTTTATATGGATGGGTAACCATCTATATAAATCAGACATGTGAAGGTGAAATATCTTATCAGTATCAATTAGAATATCTTTAAAGTTGATGTTTCTCACCTATAATGATTGTGCGAAATGACCACTAAGAATTGTGCGAATGTTCCAAAACTTGCGTGAAAAGTCTTTTGTGCAAAATGTCCTGTGTTCTATATGGATGCCAAATGAAATTACAAGTTTGCAGTGGCTTTTATTTAACAATTTAATAGCAATTCTGTTCTTGCTTAGGTAAAAAAGAGCAGATTTTGTCTCTCCCCTCCAGACCAGGAGACAATTTACTCTCTATTAGCTGGGCAAGTGTTTTATATGATTGACTGTGTTCGTTTGTCTGCTAAGTGTATTAAATTTATGGATAAATGATGTGTAGATACAGCTGTTTGCTCATCAGTAGTTCTGAATGACTTACTGAATTGAGCAATTTTGCCATCCATTTGGAGGTTTTTGGGGTAATCTCCTGAAGATAAGTAACCAGGCAACATTACCTTTATTTTATTTATCTTAGTTTAAACTATCAGTGATGAATGTCTTTTCAGATAGCACTGCACAGTCTGTGTTATGTCAGCCAATCATTCAGTCAAATGGTGAACTCATCGGTGAGTTTAAGTTTTATACAGATAAACTACTACGTACTAACGGTACTTATCACATTTAGGAAGCTGCATGTGCCTAAGTTTTGTATCATGCCATCAAGAAACTACTAGGCAAACATGAGTTGATTGGCCAACCTTGAACACATACACAAATTTGGACCTAACAGTTTTTAACGATAAATCCCAGAAGTGATTTTAGAGTAATTTCTCCCTATAATATCCATGCATTACCTAGCAAACAAGTTATGAGAATAGTAAAAGCTGTTATCTTGTTCCAACACCAAATTCTTGTGACTAATTTACAAGGAAATGTGTAGCAGCTAGAAGGGAGAACTGTCAATCAGATCTTTGGAGGTGCAAGAAACTATACTCAGTTGAATTAGGGAAAGTTGATTGATGGATTAAGGAAAATGTTTTGTTTAATTTTGCACAGGTGTTATTGAGTTATGTAGGAGACTTGGCCATGAAGCTTTTGGAGAAGAAGATGATGAGGTATGATGCACTCTGCTTTAATTCAGAAATTATTTCTTTATTTTAACTATTAAGCTCAAGGTCTGAAAAGCAAGATAAAGGCCAAGTGTGTGATCAAGTTTAATGCAATTGATAAATAAATCACAGAACTATGGAAGGTGTGCAACCCTGGCCAAAATGTTTTGTATTATGCAATACACCGAATCGAAATATGGCGTCCAATTTGAATTGCCATTGTTCTGGACTGACTAGCCTCTCACACAATACGATAATATTTTTGTATTTCCATGTCAAGACGAGGCTAGTAAGTCCAAAACAATGGTAATTCAAATTGGACGCCATATTTCGATTCGGTGAATAGTTTTGTCTTAATTTGCTTCTCACCCAACTGATATTTTCCAGATTGTCAACAGCTACCTAGTGTGGGGTGGAATATCACTGTATTATGCAGAGGTAAATAACTTATTTCATTTTTTTCTCAGTATTTGAGTGGGCAGTATCCTACAAATCCTGTGATCTGAATGGTTCCAAGAGCAGGCAGTATATATGCTCCCATTCGGCCCGCTCATAGGGGGTGTATCCATTAGGCGTTGAGCCGCCTTAAGTAGTACATCTTTAGCTTTATCGCAAACTTTCATAAGTATATTTTGTTTTATCAACTGGTCAGCATTTAATTGTAAGCAGAGATTTTGGTCACAACCTTACTTATTAATTCTCTTCTTTTCCTCTCTTTCAAATAAGAAAAAGACTGGTTTGGTACCAAATATTTTTTAGTAGATTGACATGCGGCCTGTACAAAACCATTTGTAATTCAATAATCCTCTCAAAAAGTAACTAGTATTAAGAGAGTTAAAACAAGAGGTACTTGCAGTTAAAAATTAGTTTTATCCATGCTACTTTCATTCCTTTTAACATCAGAATTTTAAAAAACAATTTATTTGACGTAGGACATTGAATGAACATTTGAGTACTGCTATTGACTAACTTTTGCAAATTTTTTGCAAGTTCCAGAAATTTTGATATTTCTACATATACTGTACATTTCACAACAGAAACCGAAAAATTCAATGACTAAAAGTTGCAATACATTCCCTTGTGTCTAGGTAGAAAAGGCATGTCATTTGACATCCGGTTTTGGGTGGGAGAAAGATTTTACAGACGCCATTACAGCAAGCAAACAAGCAGACTCAAAACTTCAAAACATACCTTTGAATTTACTTACAATTTGACTTTCCTTGACATTTAGAACTGAACAGAGGTATTAATTCTTCATACATTAATTGTCATTGGAAGAGAAAAGAGCTTTCCATAAAATTAGTGAAGATAAAAAGTCACAGTGATAGTCATGCATTTGCCTGACGAGTTTACATGCTTAAACAAGTGCTTTGTCTTTATCAAAAGTGTCAGCGGGCTTAATTTTTTTCTTACATGCTTTCCAGTTGACAGGTGTCAGATCGTGACAGATACTCCTAATAATCAATATTTGCATGGAAGCCTTTTAAATCACCCTTATCAGTATGCAGATAAAACTGTTTCAGTGAAGCCCCTCTTTTTCAATTGCATTACCTCTGTTTTCTCTTTCATCTACTTGCTCAAAAACAATTGTTCTGCTTATGGAGGATCTTGCTGTGAGTTACAGCTTGAAGTTATTCGAGTTCTTCAGTTTACAAGCATTTCGTTAAGTTTAAGAAGAAAATAAAAATGTTTTTCACCATCCTGGGTCGGTTGATATTGGGAAAAACTGTGCCCTCTGTCTTGTGTACCATCCCAGGCCAAGGGCCGCAGGCATTATCCAAGGCCTTGGGCACAGTTTTTCCCAATACAGACCTCCTGGCTGGTGAATAACATATTGAATATTTAGTTGGAAAGGAGGTAATAAGACATACTGGGACAGTCACCTTTTTTTGTTGTAATTTTTGTAGTCTAGAATTCCTTTCGATTAAAGTAATCATAGATTCCCTTTTCTTATGTGACTGCACACATTTTTTAATTTTTCAGATGTTCCAAAACATGCAAAGACACAGAAAATTGACAGAGTTTCTACTAAATGTGACAAGGTAAATCAGATTTGTATTGTATAAAGCAGAAGTGGAAAGAAAATTGAAAATTTCTCTACAATTTAATTAGTTGACCCTCCAGTAATTCTCATTTTGCCACTGAGTACAATATAGTACTGAATTTCTTCACAAAAGGCTTTCATTATTTTCAAGTTTACATCATATGTTTAAAAATAATGAAGAGTGCACATTGGACAGTGGGCAATAGATAACCTACATGGCCCATAGGGCTGAGTTTTCTGTAATCATCTCATATGGAACAAAGTGGGTGAAATAATTGTTTTTATTGAAAATGCACCAAAAATAGATAAATCTTCCCAACTTTATTTTGTTAGAACAAACGGAATGTTACAATGTCTAAAAAAACAATTTCAGTTTAGTTAACCCATCTTTATGGGTGCACATGATATAATGGCTCATAAACCCATCGTGGCTTACCCAATGGCACAAAAAGCTGTAGAATAGTGTTATCCAATGATTCAGTTTTTTAATAAATAAGAATAGCCTGCAAGGAGGCCATCATTAATAGCACTGTAGGATACACGTTTCTTCGCCTATTGAAAGATTTGAGACAAGATAGAGAGAGGTTTGGGCGGTGGGGGTCTGGTACTCCTCTTTTTCAGTGTTAGACTCTTTGCAGACCTCTTACCACCCTGCTTTACTTATAACCGTATACTTTATGGTGGGAAAAGAAATGATTGTGATGAAGTGCTAATAACTAGCAACTGCTTGCAAGCTATTTTATTAATATATTTTGTGATGTCCTGGTATGAGAAATAAAGCAAGCTCTGTTGACTGTTATCTTTTGTTTATTTTTCAGGTCAATCTTTCAAGATATTGTCAGCATGGATACAGTGATTATGAAGATTATGGTGAGTGTGTAATACACATTCCAAAAGGTTAACTTTTAAACTCCCATGAGTGACAACAGAATTTCTCCTCACAATATTAATACAATGTCAAGCAGACAACTGGTGGGAATAAAGAAAATTATTACACAACTTGGGCAGTCAGAGGGCCAATAACTACCGGGCACTGTCCCGAATGGTCCCAAATGATACCGCACTTGTGTCCCCTTGAACTTCAGTCGTATAATAAATCTCTTATTAACCAAGCTTGCTCAGGACCATACTGGAAGAATATCGGCCCTCAGTCTTTTTTCTACGGACCTCGCTGTGCTCGGTCCGTACTGTTAAGACCTCAAGCTGATATTCTCCCAGTACAGCCTTCGCGCTTGGTAATTAAGATATATATATTGGATAAGGGATTCGAGTTTGATTCTACTTGATAGTAAATTTTCCAAACTAATATCACAAAAATTGTATAGCAGACAAATTATTAGGGGAATTACTAAATGCAATCTTGGGAGTGAAAGGGTTAAATTATATAAAAAAAAAATTTCACACACCAATGCAGCAGCATTTTAATTTAATACCACTTAATACATGTTTCAAAGAAACATCCTATAGTTTGTAAAGTGCATATTTAAAAACGATTGCATGGGAAAGGTATTTATTTCCTGGATAGTAACTAAGGTGTCCCTAATATGTAGACAAAATGTAAAATATCACAAGTACAAACATGGATTCGATTGTCTTTTACGGATAGTTGCCATTCTATTGATATTAAATAAATGCAAGTTACCAATTCAATTGTTTCCTTTTTTGACAAGAATTATGCGCAAACTTTGGTGGATGCAGACAGAACATCACTCTTTCTCGTGGACAACAGAACAAATGAATTGTATGCCAGGATATTTGATATAGGAGGGAGTCTTGAGGACAGCAGATCATCAAATCTTCAAAAAGAAATCAGGTAATACATGGATAAAGTTATCTTTTCCAGAAAGATTTTTATATTTACTAGAATAACATTGATCGATACTGATTTTCCTGAATATCAAGTAAACCCAGATTAGGGATAATTAGCATAATTTATTCATCTGTATTGTGTTTTAAGTCTTGAGTGGATGCATGGGTTATGTAATGTAGAGCTCTCCTTCAGTTTTCACAGTCTTTTACATGGAGTTTTTTTGACTGAACAGATCTTATTCATTCATACCATAATTATAGTGTATGTCTATATGGGACTCAGCCTCATGCAATGTTTTATACAATGAAGCCTTTGGTCACTTGAAACAATTGAATGGTTACTTGACATTAAAGATTGATCACCAGAAAAAAAAAAAAAAAGGACATGAACCTAACAAAACATGTCATATCTCTGACATGCTGCCTAGCTTGTTCTTATGAGAAAATAGCTGTTTAAATTGCTAGCCAACAATTGTAATTAGATGTTATGGTTTGTGTAACATTTATGAAATAGTGATACTGTGACAGTCGTAGTGAAAGAGGCAAAGTTTAAAGTAAAGTGGCCATTTAAAAAAAAATTCATTTTAATTTTTATCTTAGTGTAACCTAAGCCTAGAAGTACATACGCTGTACATGTATGAGATACATTAATTAATTGTTATAATTATAGAAAAAAATTATGACTTCAAACTTTGATGCCAAAGTCATGTGATCATGGTGATCAAAACAGTTCCATCTTGGAGTTCTGACCTAGGTCTTGCATTTGAAATGTTTTCAATTATGTTAAATTTTTTTTTACTGATCTTGTTTTTTTCAGGTTTCCTAAAACAAAGGGTGTGGCAGGCCATGTAGCCACCACAGGAGAGACCCTGAACATTGCAGATGCCTATCATGATGAAAGATTTAACAGGTGTACTTGAGATTTATGTCAGTTTGAACTTTTCAGGCTTGTTCGTAGCTAATGATAGATTTGCTTGCCTGTAATTGACTTGAAATCACTTTTAAACTACCTTAACCTCGTCCCTTATAACCCTCCTTTGATCATATTTTGCTTCTGTTTATTCCAGGGAAATTGACCTTCAGACTGGGTACACCACTACCACGTTGCTTTGTATGCCAATTTTCATCAGAGGAAAGTAAGTTCTTACTTGGGAAACCCTGTTTGTCATAACTGACTTGTATGTATAAGAACATCTTTCTTAAAAGGGGAAGAACAACTATTTTTAGCCAAACTGACTGTGATCTTTGAAAATTAGCTAAAGCTCTGCTTATAGTAAAATCACCAGGTGCCTGTGCCTGTGTAGTGGCCTCTTGTCTCAGAAATTTTGGGATATCCAGCTCTTAAAATCTCTCATAAAAGCTGAGTTATATATTAAGTTCCTTAAAGTTAGTTCCCTGTGGCACCCACGGTCTGTGAAAGCACAGTCAGCTTTCACACTCCTGTCCAGGTTAATCGTGAAATGTGCTGAACGGTCATGTGAACTGTAATGGAGGCAGTGGATAAATGATATCCTCAGTTTCAGAATAAGCAAGAGAGCATACCTCATGTGTCATTTTTCATCAGATAGGTGGCCCAAGTTTCAACAGCTCCACTGTTAGTGATCAACATTGCAGGCTCTGGTTGTGCAGGATTGATAAAATCGTTCTAGCATTTCGAATCTTAGAATATTTTGAGAGAGTTCAGCTCTCAGGTCTTAAAATTATTGAGGAGTATCCTTTTTCTTTCTATTTACACCACCCTAACTCAAATGAATGGAAAATGCCGTAAATACTTTTTATAAAAAGTTAAGCATAATTACTCAATAAACTGACACGCTAGTTTGATCATTTTAACAATTAAGCATTGATTTGAACTATTAATAAATTTTCAGTATTATTGGAGTTGTTCAGATGGTGAACAAAAAGAGTGGAGTGTTCACAGCATCAGGTAACTTGTTTCAAACATTATAAAGCAATAAACGACTTAAATAAATTGAAGGTTAAAATTAAACGGAAACCTCAGCAAGAAAAAAGTAATGGTTTAGGGCATGAAATGAAAAATAGTATTCTCTGTTTCCAAACATAAGTATGATACAATGAATATATGAAGTTCATATAATTATTTTGAACTGCGGTATTAAATACGTATGATGCACGATCCTTCGCAGTAGATACCGCAGTTCAAAGTATATGAACTTCATATATTCATTGTATCTGATCGATTTATCATCACGGATTTATTACGAATCAACTTAACGGCCTGCTCCCAGATGGCTTGTTAGCTCAATTGGTAGAGCGCTGCACTAGTATCGCAGAGGTCAGTGGTTCGAATCCCGTACAGGCCTGATTTTTTTCAGGTCTGATTTTCGCCATTGCCTAAATAGCGCTATCTACTGCGAAGGATCGTGCATCATAAACATAAGTATGTTACACCTTCATGTCAAAAAATTTGTCATGTTAAATATGATAATGCAACATAATCTTGTATTTTGTGGTTTTACAGATTTTATTTAACACATGAATCATACGTGAAATAACGTTGTTTTTCTTTTTAGTTCGATGGGTTAATTTTTTCATGTATGTATTAGCGTGCTTACTCAATTGTTTCATTTCTAGATGAAAAGTCTTTTCAGACGTTTGCAATTTACTGTGGCTTGGCTCTCCATCATGCTAAGGTTTGTCAACTACAAATATAACTTTCATTGTCAGGAAAACCAAATGGTTTTTGACCACCTACCTCCTTGCTCATGGCTTATTATCTGGAGGTAATTTAGGGCTGCATGTTCAAAATACTGACAGATCGAAAAACGATAACTTTAAGTCTTGAACTGCACTGTAACCTCGTTCCATTACCTAAATAAGCATCCTTTGTTTAGCAGTCTTGCATAATGTCATTTAGTCATTTATTTCTTCAACGTGGAATGCAATTTTGAATTTGGAAAAAAAATAATCCTTTGTCAGGTTTCTGTCAATATGAGTAATTTTTATTGTAATTCAGTAGGGACCATTTTGGAGACGGATACGGACCCTTCAACTCACAGAAATGATAAATATGTATCTTCTCCTTTTATTACTAATGCTTTATTAAGCAAACTTGTGAAAGTGTAGTGTGATCGTCCGGGTGAGTGTAGTCCTGACAAGGACTGTTGTCGGTGGTAGTGACTGACGTTTCGACAACCTGTGCGGAAGTGATCATCAGAGTCAAAAACATTTCTTGTGTCCCTCAAAGGACTGTATGGATGCAGGACAGAAAGTAAAACGTATGCATTCAACTTCATTTCTTTATTTGGAGGGTTATTCAGTTCATGATCTGATTAGAGCAGTTTAAATTGATTGTCAAAAAAACCAAAACCAAAGTAATCTCTGTGACCAATTTAAATAAAGGTCTTCACTATCATTAGCCAATGAGAACTCAAAGTGAAAACAAGCAAACTGCTCGAGGACCGGAAAAACGCGAACGACCAAGTCGTGATTGTTTTTAGTTTTGCATCTGATTGGTTCAGAGGATGGCACGAGTTTTCTGGACCAATCACAGAGCAAAGTTTAATAAAACCAAAAGCATTCCCAATTGCCTTTGACACTCAAGTGCCTCGCTTCTAATTTGTGATTCCTTATCATACCAAGAGTTTGCTTATGCTTCGAAACTGTCTCATTACAGCTTTATGACAAGATAAGGAGGTCGGAGCAAAAGCACAGGGTAAACTATCAAGCTATTCTTGTACATTCTTTAACTTTAACTTTAATTCATTCGCCATAGGAATGGCAGGAGAAAGGAACAGAACTTTCGTTCCAATTGACACCTAACCCCTTTTTTACCCACCCATCCCACCCCGGGGAGGACATCCATCACACAGTAATCTCGTGTGTGGGAAATTAACGTCTACTACGCCAACCCTGCAGGAGACGGGACCTCCATTTATCGTCCCTATCCGAGAAGACTAGAAAGTCTAACCATTTGCAGATATTATTACAAAGGCAGCACTTTCTTCTCAGTTAATTAAAGACCCTGAGTGTTGGTTCGGCCGGATTTGAACTCACGACCTCCCGCACAACAGTCCGGCGCTCTACCAATTGAGCTAACCATTCTAACTTTTGCTTGGTTCTTACCTGTGATCTATTGGAGGACAGACGTATAGATGACGTCACCATTTACAACATTTTGCTTTTTTATGCGTAGGTTTAGTGATAGATCGCGTAAGACGTTAAAATGTGGCGAGAACATCAGTGACTTACTCGGTAGCGCCGAGTGTGCCACTTCTCAGTTCTTCTCACCTTTTGATGTCATCTGTTAACTATTGCTAAAGAGACGCATGGCAACGTGTAATCTATTTGTTACACTAATAAAGTTCCAGGGGAAAATTTTCAAGCGCCGACTAGTCTTTTTGAACTGCTGTTTTTACAAAATCTCACCTCACAACTTTTAGGTTAAAAGAACTCTTCCTGTAGGAACTTTTAAACAGAAAAGAAAAGCCGATCTAAAAAAATGCCAAGTACAAGTCAAATCGGGAAAGGAAACTTTGCTTGTTTAATTTATTCACTTTACATGGAAAGTTTACCAGTAAGACTCGACTTAATATACTCGTCCCAGCTTTTTTCCGGTGGGTATCCAAATTTATCGACCATGGAGAATTCGTGTCTGTGTTCATTTCATTTCCTTATACGGTAACACTGTTTAATTGTAGCCTATTAATTGTATTTATTTAGGTCGCATTGGAAGTCCTTTCATATCACAGCAAATGTTCTGAACGTGAGCTTACAAACTCCCAAGAGATGCCAGTTCAAGAACCTTTCCCATCTCTGGAATCGTAAGTACAAGGGATACCTTTTAAACAACGGTTTATTACCTAACATCAGTATGCATATTCTCCATAATGTTCTCTACATGTCCTAACGTGCTTATGAGAAAAATTTGTTGGACAACCCAGAACGTCTCTAATTGGTGATTATTTTCTTTATTCTCGTGACCCTAATGTGTGATTCGGACTGGTATTGTAAGGAAAAATGAGATTCTAGTCTCTTTTAAGATAAAAAGGTTAAGCTTAAGGTTAAACATTTGCAAGAGTCGAGCAGGCAAGCCTAGGGGAGGTGTGCGAGAAGTTTAAGTTGACTTTTCGTGAACCTCAGGAGAAGTACCAATGAGAACTTCGTTTTATTGCAGGCCATTTTTTAATTGGAATTTTAATACATAAGAACGAACGTTGATCCCCTTCTGTACAATGAATAATCCATCAGTAAGTTGTGCTTGTTGTACTTTTTGTACCTGTCAGGTATAAATTTGATTCATACTCACTAGTTAGAGATGGAACAGACTTCATGCCGAGTCTCGTCATTCAAATGACAAAGAACCTCTTCTCGCTTCAAAGGTTAGCTTTCGTTTGCTTCAGTTAAACTGTTTTTAACTTGGCAATTTTCATGGCGTCGAGATTGAAGGGAGAATGTGAAATATCCTTCTATTCAAGCGGAAAACATCTGGGGATTTTCTTATAGGGGTCACGCATTTGCGCACCCCGTGGCCATGAACATTTTAGGAACTTGTGTCTGAGCTAAAAGAAAGTTCCTAAAACCGATGTATCTGTCCGAGAAATTTTCAACTGAGTGTCAAGAGTAATCCGGAACTGCTTTCGTTTTAATTTTGTTCGATCTGTGATTGGTTCAGAAAACTTGTGCCACTTTCTCAGCCAATCAGAAGCACAAGAAACTTGTTTTCGTCGTATTTACCTCCTCCTAATGGAGGTTCCACTCTATGGTTTGGTTATATGTAGATACACCATGTTTTTCTATGAGTGTGAAACTTAGTTCCTGTAGATCATTTTGCTTAGTACCTTTTGGACCAAATGCAAGTTCATAAGTGACATATCGTTATACTCTAAATGTTTTTTTGTCCTTAATTTAATTGTAATAACATCAGGGTAGATTAGGACCGTCACGTTACGTTTGGATTAATCTATTGACCGTCTTATGCTATAGATTTGGAGTTGACGAACTGTGGCGGTTTGTGCTTACAGTGAAGAAGAATTATCGAGACGTTCCATACCACAACTGGACTCATGCCTTCGCTGTAGCACATTCCATGTATCTCGTTATTCGGTCTGGAAACGAAAAATTCACAGCACTCGAGGTACAAAAGCGCTGCTGTCTTCTTTGCGAACCAAAAAACAATGGTGTGGGGTTGAGGGGGAAAGAGAGGGACCCATTGGAACATGGAACATTGGAACAAATGGGAACCCATTGGGCATTTGGGACCCATTGGAACGAGTTGGTTATAAAGATTATCCCCTTGACCCCTGAGAGGGACTTAAGGGAGGGGGGGCACCAACTTCATATCTTCCTTGTATAAACAAAAAATATACAACTGTTCCCCAGATACAAGGAGACACTCAAAGCCACTTGGGGGGAGGGGGGAGGGCTGCCAAACCCGTGTCCTCTTTATATAGACAAAAAGTACACAGCTGTGCCCTAGGTACAAGGAGACTAAAAGGCAAGCCGAACTCGGCTTATTTGGAAGAAGTTTCCAATTTATTGGTTAAAAGGAAATGAAGAATGTGAACTCAATTATGTACTCTTTCGTTTGACTGCCCGTAGGCCCTGGCCATGTTCTTTGCCTCCTTGTGCCATGACTTGGATCACCGCGGTCGCACCAACTCATGGATGAAGAATGAACAGACACCCCTGGCTGCTGTGTACAGCACTTCAACTATGGAACATCATCATTTCAACCAAACCATCACCATCCTTCAGGTAGAAACAACAAGGATCGCTCATGCGAGTGATATGAATAAAAAGTTTTAAACAAATCTCCGAGAGATGGCATATTTTTTTGGCGATAGGGGCGAAGTCGAGCGAGTGCATTGTACGAATGACCCGACCGATTGTTGAGCGATTTTAAAGTTCAGAATACTTTTCTCCAGTTTCAACTAAAGAAGCAAAATGTCACTTTCCCGTCAACAGCATGAAGGCCACAACATTTTCTCTCACCTAAGTCCGGCAGAGTACAAAACAGTGCTTGGTTACATGAAGGAGTGCATTCTTGCCACAGACCTGGCGTTGTTTTTCGGTAACAAGTCTAAACTGAATGATATGGTGGAAAAAGGACAATTCACTTGGGACAACCAAGAGCACAGGTAACAAATTCTCCTGGCAGGAGGACTGCGCGTCAGATCTAGACCGTTTAAAGAGTGAAAATCCCTGGGGGTGTGAGGGATGGTACAGTCAAGGGTGAGAGCGTCTGCCTCCCCACGCTGATTTCTGGTTCGATTTCCGGACCTGGTGTTACATGTGGGTTGAGTTTGTTGTTGATTCTCGTCCTTGTTCCGAGGTTTTTCCTCTGGGTTCTTCCGTTTTCCTCCTTCCACATAATCTAACGTAATTAATTCCAGTTTGACCTGAAGACCGTGAATGGACAAGAAGAGTCCACTGCTAAGTCCCATTGTTATTACCGCAGTATTATTATTATTAAAATTCTCTCTTTGGGCCTTTTGTTTTGAACATTGAGCTGTCACTTTAAGTTATTTTTCGAGAGCGAGGTCAAACCTTTCCGTTTTCAGGGTAGAGTGGGACGTTGTTATCTTCCAAGGTCTTTCTCACTAAATTTCCCTTAGGAACATTTTACCAAAAGAGAGATGGCCAAAGATTTTGATTTAAAAGTGGAGTTGTCAACTTACAATAGACCGCACTTTCTATTGGTTTACTGGCGTAATAACCTACGTGGGAAGTTGGAAGTACACGAGAAAAGTTTGTAAGTCACCTGCTGGAGGCAAGCGATACGCAAACTTTGGAAGTGTTCTCACAGGTGGGTTATGACGGAAAGGAAGTGCGGTCTATTGCTTTAATAAATAACATTTATTGCTCCTGGTTTTAAAAGGGTGTTGCCTACCCTATTCCAGAGTGGAACAGGTTAGAGTGGTTAGTTTTCATCTCAGACCTGTTTACAATCTTTTCATCAGTTTTAGGCTTATTCAAGGAATTGATTTGGCTTACTCTTGAAGTACTTATATGCTTATCACTATTCTAATATCTAGTCAATACAACTTCTGTTTCATAGAATGGAAAGCAAGTAATGTTAACCGTCATGCGTCTGAATGAATGGAAAACACAGAATCGCAGCTGATTATCGAGTCATAAATGAAGGAGCATTTGAACTGACTCAGAGAGTACTTTCCCTTTCAGGAAGCTGTTACGTGCCATTTGTATGACGGCTTGTGATTTATCTGCCTGCACAAAGCCCTGGGAAATTCAGTTGGAGATTGTAAGGGTCATATACCAAGAGTTTTACGCTGAGGTACGGTTTTAGACAGTGTACTTTGCACTTGGAAACGTAGAATTCTGTTGATCAACTGATGACCTAAAATGACCCGAATAAAGGAGTTAAGTTTCGAAAGAAACTGTGGTGCTGCGTCGGTGAGAGTTATATCAAAATCATTCGGATTTATCAACTTAGTTGATAATGTGAATTAGAGACGTAAAGAGCTTCTCGAGCAGACATTTTGAGCCTTGCAAAGCAAAATATGTTGTACCACTGCTAAAGTTGGGTTGAAAGAAGCATAACATTTTAATTTCTCGTTCAGCACTCAACAACGTTCTCGCTTACCCTCTCGTGCTTTAGTTTAAGCCCTTAATGGGCATTGAATCTATTATTTCAAACATTGTCAGAGGTTAGGGGAGATTTGAATTTTAATGTTCTTTTTGATGTGGTTAGGGTGATCTTGAAAAGGCTCAGGGAAAAACACCCATTGCAATGAAGGACCGCAACACAGCGCATGAATTGCCGGCACATCAGGTGAGAAACTGTCCTCCACTAGTTATGCGTTACCTACTCGATAGAATCATAGAAAAACTTGACATGTGTTGACATGTGATATTTAGTCACGTGCAATGATGTGTTAACTATGTTTCGTGGTTGGTCCAGAAAAATGGCAGCACTCTCTCAACCAATCAGATGCTGTTTTGTTCTGATTGGTCGCTGGGATTACTTTGGTTTGGTTTTTCGACACTCAATTGACAACTGCTGTAATTTTTACGCAGGCCAGCTTTAATTACTGACTAGACGCTCGAGGAGCGTTCACTCGGGCTTAGTTTAGTGCTATAGCATTCGGACAAAACACGAGTACAATTATAATATAGATACTATGCATAACGAGATCTGAATTGTTGTGCTTTTATTGACACTGTAACATCATTATGTTTCTGTACATTAGTCATATTGACAACTTTTTCGAGTAGATCACAGTAATCGTCATGTCTTCTATTAAGCACTAACAACTCCATGCGAAGAGCAAACCAACATTCACGATCGCTTGTATAATAATAATAGTGGTTATGTACGAAATACCAAATCGTACTTTACGAGTATTGAACCCAATAAAAACCAATAACAGAAACAGGATATTTAACGGAAGAGCTTAGCTTATATGTTTAACCGTACTATTCCAGCCGGTTGCTTCTGTCAGTATCCTAATCCAATTCGCTGTTGTTAGCGTCACCTTCGAAGTTGTGCTCGTGAACACTCTAATTTTTTCAGCAAGTGAGGTGTTCGTCTCAGCATCATAGTTTGTTGTTGCATCGGCTGTTCCAGTTTTGCCAGAATTTTCGTAGTTTCAACTTTACATATGGCTCATTTGTTTGGCGTTTGTATGTGAGATGAGCGTCTAAGACAGAAATCTTTGCAACGCGGTCTTCACGAAACACAGCATTCTGTAAATTATGTTATTTGCGAAAAGCGAGCACATGACAACACAAGTTGTCGCACTCTCATCCCCAGTTTCCGCGGTTTAAGCAAGGAACGCCTGGGACCATGACCCTCCTTTTGGTGACCAAGAACGGCTTGCATTTTTAGACTTGGGCTTTCCTACGGAAGCCCGAGTAATGATAACAAATCTTACATTTGTCTTCAGGTTGGCTTTCTGGTTGGAATCTGTTTACCTTGTTATGAGCTCTTGCAGAAGTGTATACCTGACACAAAACCACTTGTGGAAGGATCTCAGTAAGTCGTGCGCTGTCTAAATGGATTATCAGAAACTTTCCTCCTTGTTGTTTTATCTAATTTTTTTTTTTATTTCTCATTTTTGATGTGTTGCCCTGCAAAATATAATTTTAAGGGAACGTACCGGTTCAGTAAGCTTTAGAGACGTAACTGAATGAATGATTTTTCCATAAGAAAGTTGTCGTTATGAAGTTTCCCTCCCATTTATATTTTCTTGCCAGAAACGAGATGTGAGCCCAAGTTCGCCCAAAGTCCAACTCGAAACTTTTACGTCTTTTCCCACCTATTTAGATGCAGTTCGTTGGACAAATTCACACAAAAAGACATGTTCATTTCTGATGTTTACAATTTATTTCGTAACAGTAATCCACGTGGTTTGAATACGTTTTTCTTCGCTAATTTTTTGTTTGTTCGTTCTTTGTTTTTAAAGAGCAAAGCTGACAAAATGGTCGAGGATGGCTCAACACAACAGAAATGCCATAGAATCCATGAATCCGCCTTCAGACGATTCAAGTAAGGAAGACCAAGAAGAAAACGAAGAAAAAAGCAGCGAAGCTGGCGAGAAAGAAGGGGAAAGGGAAGAAAAGAAAACGAGTGGCAGTGACGAGAAGGAGAAGGGTGCTGCGGAGACACGAGATAATCAGAGTGACAAGAAAGAGGAAGCAAAAGAGGAAAAGGGTGGGAAGGATGAATCCAAACTGGTGGAAGGTGCAGCAGAAGAGAGTAACGAGGGAAATGCTTCTCCTTGATGTTCACATTGTTCCTTTTTCTCTGTAGCCAAATGTCCTCTTTGTCTTTAGTTTCCTTTCGGTAGAAATTGTATTCCTTAACACGAAGTATTCCTGTAAGGAAAGCGTTACATTGACGATCTCTTTACTTGTCACAAACAAGACGAGATCGGTCACGAATGATCACAGTCAAGAGATTGTAAACTGTTCATAATCTCTTGTTAGAGGACTTTATGATTTGATCAGGTTGAATGTGTAGATTTTCTTAGAGAAAATTTACTACTAGTACAAGTTTTCCTGGGGAATTATTAGGGAGCTTTAGCAACGACTACGGGGACGACAACGACAACGGCAGAAAACAATAGGCTTAATTAGCAAAAAAAAATCGCCCTGCACATACGTTTAACATTTTGGTAGATTTCTTTGCCGTTCTCGGCAAAACAACAACGTGAAATAACCAAACTTTAGGTTTTCTCGAGAACGTGAGCGCATGACGGTTAATTTTTCTTTCTTTCTCCTCACTTTAACGCCGTTGATAGTGATACAGTCCCTGAATAGTTCACCAGCATTTTCCAAGTGAAACACATCGGAATAACCTCGAAAGAGTTACAAAAACGAAAAGTTAGATTTCGACACGACGTTTTCGTTGCCGTCGCCGTCGTCGTTGCTAAAGCTCCCCAATAATTATTTGGGGAATTATTAATTATTTCATTATTAATTATTGGGGAATTAATAATTATTTTTCTCCAATGTTTTCTTTTGTTCGTTTGTTTGTCCTCTGTTTCTTTGAAAACTTTTCAAGAATCTCAAGGGAACCTATAGGACAACAATAAAAAAGGGAGAAATCGACTCGATGCGAGTCCAAGGTGCCAGGACATGCCTCTGTAGCATGTTTATTCATAGAATAAAAGAAAATATCTTTAGCGGTTTCTAAATTGAAAACAAACAAACAAACAAAAAACAAAAAACAAAAAACAGAGCCAGAAAGACCGGTCTGGACAGGAAAGAAAAAATTTTATGAGAGGGAACACCTGGACCCGACTTTTGTTTCGTCCTTGATTGAAATGCGACTAGAATTCTGCTCTTTGGAGATAAATCTTCAAAAAGCGAAATTTTAGTTTTGGTTCCAAGCATAAAATAATAAAAATAACGATATAATCAAGAATACTGCCACCTACACTTCTTTATCGGAAGTTTCCTAGTGCGTTTTTTTATACAGAGCAAAAGTTTATAGTCGTCTGGATTGCTAAGTTCCTGAACGTGTCTTGAAAATTTTAGGTTTCTGAATGGATTAGAAAAAAATGTCTTGTGGGATAAAAGCAAGTACTAGTCCGCCAAGAAATATCTTTACGGGAATCAGATAGTAAAGCTAACCTAAAGGGTGGGCAATGTAGACTTGAACCGATTAAAAAATTGTTTTCTAAGCCTTAAATAACAGATTAAGACATACATAAAACTGGAATTAGTGTGCGACCAAGATTTCAAATTCAAATGTTCGTCATTTTAATTCAGAAGAGAGTTATTTATTTCTGGTGGGTAAGTTATACGATCTGAGTATTCAAACAATGAATGACTATATATTTCAGTGTTATCACAGTTAAAATTTTCATATATATATATATATAAGTTCTATGATAACTATTTAATTTATTCTTGTTGTCCTCTGTGGTTTTCGATGATGTTAGCTGAACACTTCTTATTATTAAGTAATAGAGCTTGTTTAGAACATCACGAGTGAACAGCCTTGGAAACTTGTTCACTAAAACTAAAGTTGTTGGAGAAGTTCAGTCTGCACACTTTCGTAGGCCACAAAAGGAATGCTTATCAAGAAAGAGAGACAAATCATGATTTTACGCTTCTTATTCCACCTTTTTATTGTATAAAGTACACTTATTTATTGCCCTGGGTCATGAACAGGGAAGAAGTTTCAAGGTGTCAGGTGGAGGTACCGTATGACAGTGAGGTGTGATATGAAATGTTAGATCTTATATTATACGGCTGTAATTGTGTTACTTTACCGTTCATTCGCTACTTTTGTTGAGGAAGCTAGACTAATTCACCATTCACACCTGCTAAACATGGTTAGTTAATATGGGTTTTTCTGAGTGAAAATCCGAAACTGAGACCTGAAAAACTGAATTTTCCGTAGGTTTCGAGTGGTCACTAACTTTTGGTTTCATTGTGCCAAATTTGAAGTCGACAGATATCGGGTGAAACAGCTTTTATGAAGAAAACAATTTTCAATGGTGTTTAACAAAACAGCTTTAAAACATGTAAAGCTTTAGTGTGAAAGGGGTATAATTTTACTTGTCTGCTAGTATGAAACCCACCCCAAGAAAGGTCTTTTATACTAATCATTATCGCTAGTTAATTTATTCTCCCCGTTGTGAAATGGTTTGAGCGAATTGAAGGAAGCTGTTTTTTGACATACTCCTTATTAGACTGAATTATCTTTCCTTATTAGTATAAAAAAGCT